CCGTTTTAGTTTGGTTTATTTGATTGAGCAAGATAAGAGTAAAATAGTATAAAAATATGTTATCGATATAGAGAGCATAAAAGACTTCATGGCCCAATGGATAAGGCGCTGGTCTACGAAACCAGAGATTCTGGGTTCGATCCCCAGTGAAGTCGGAATTGTTTTTTTATCTTTTTTGAGCTATATCTAGATTTCTTCTAATTCTTCCAAAGATTACGCTAGTAAGTCAGTAACAGTACATTATTCCCATTAAGATTACTCGTCGAAAGTAGCAAATGTCAAACATTTACAGCTGAAAGTTGTTCACCTTCGAGATCACTCGACTTCTTGTGGAACTTCACGAAGCCTATTAAGAGTAGTAACAATTTCACTCAGACAAGCGATTAGTTCGTCTCCTTGCTGTCTCACGAACTTCATTTTGTCGTCAATGCTAGTACCATCCTTTGTTAGACTTCTCTCGACTATTGCATGTATCAAGTCAACTTTCTCACCTAGCTTTGCTTCCATTGCTTCTACCTCCTCTTCGATGTTCATCTTTTGCTCCTCTTCTTCATCCGTCGAGCTTTCTTCAACCGGCTTCTTCTCTTCCATCGTTTTCTTCTGATGGGTTTCTTTTGCAGGTTTCTCTCGAGTGTTTTCCTGAACTCGCTTTGTCCGTGGCTCTTCTTCTTTCTTTGTCTTATTCGGCGGGTTCTCCTTCATGAGAACAGGTCGCTGTCTTGAGACTCTTGACCTTTTTGATCCTGCAAAAGGTGAGTTTCACAACCAAGTGATTCGAGAACCATTAGAGAGTGTCAGTGATTCTAGACTGATCCAGGCTACTACAAAAACAGCCGTTCACATTCATCAACTAAGATGATGACTAAGAAATGAGCAATATGTGCAAGGAACTACAATGTAGCTCGCTATAGAGGTTACGGTTGCACTGCTTCAGCAGAGAGTTATAAAGAAACTTTAACTATGCCCAATGAACTATACCAACAACTTTCATCATTTTGTATGTCAAAGTACTGAATAAGTCTGTCTATGCAATAACAAGCCAAGTGTTGTTCAGTAAGCGACCAAAGAAGAATAGCGTAATGTACCTAATTCAGCAGTGACATCAAGAACGTCAGAGC